GGTGAAAAAACGCCGAAGCAATAAAAAAAGAAGAAGAAGAACAGCTGCAGAAGCATCACAAGGGGACGGAATTGCAAGCGTTGTTGCCATAAGAAGGCGTTGGATACACACAACGAGGAAAGCTGTCTAAAGCCAAAGGAGAGGAAAGCAAAAAACCAAGAGTTGGGCGAAGTAAAGGCGAAAAATAAAATCAATTATTTTAGGTAGGGGCAAAACCTAGTGGTAATTTGCTAAAAAGCGCGTCTTTAATTTTGGTTTACAAACCGAAATTTATAATTTTCGTATTTTCAATTTCGGCTTTTTCCACGTGCTATCCGTAGTTGCGCCAGTTTTGTTCCCGCTTTTATCTTGAACACCGGCGGTGGTAGCATATACACCGACAGCTTCCTTTCAAACCGGCGTTGCAGCATTGATTTTTCGCAGACGGAAATTATTTTCATTTTGGAAACGTGTTGAGACTTTTTTATCGTTAAACTGTTTTGACGCCTTAAGTGTTGCAATATGGGTGCCTACCTATCCGAACCGAAAACAGACAAGGTGTCTTCGGACGAGTCAAATGATATATTGACAGTGGGAGCTAGCTCGATGCAAGGTTGGCGCAATAATCAAGAGGTAAGCGACAATAAAAACTGCTAGAAAATTAAATAAATATGCTATTTGTTGTTATAGGATGCTCATAATTCCATTTTAAATTTCGATAAAATTACCTCATTCTTTGCTGTTTACGATGGACATGGAGGGGCGGAAGTGGCCACATATTGTGCAGATAAGCTACCGCAATTTCTCAAAGATTTAAAATCTTACAAAGAAGGCGAATTTGAAAAGGCTTTAAAGGAGGCTTTTTTGGGCTTTGACAAAACACTATTAGAGCCGCAGGTAGTGGAGATATTAAAAGTGCTTGCCGGAGAAATGGGCTTTGACGGAGATGATAGTGATGCACATGAAGATGATGAAGATTTTGAAGACTTGGCTGAATTACACGAGGAAAGTCACTTACCATTAGATGAAGTATTGGAAAAATATAAAGGTGGACCATCCATGCCCTCTCTGAAAAGGGTAAAAGATGGGGTATGTGGAGCAAAACCGCTATCACCGTTTTTACGCGGCAGGCGCGCAGCATTCGTAATAGCCGATGCCACAAATAAAGCAGTTTTAGATCCAGAATCTAAGCCGCAGGGTTCTTCTACTTCTGCCGCCGCAGCTGCCGCAGTTTTATCTGATGAAGCTGGTTCGAGTTCTTCACATAAACCTTGTGGATCTGCTTCTTCGAAGCTTGTTTCCATCAATTCAGAGTCAGGTCCGAGTTCTTCATGCAGTGGCAATGTAGCAAAAATGGATACCGATGAACCGGAAGAAGACTCTACAGTTAGCAGCAGCAGTTCTAGTGCAAGCAAACCCAGTAATAATAATACGGTTACTGAAATAGAAGTTAACAAAACTGAAGGCGAGATTGAGAAAGTTTCAGCAAACGGTTCGATAGCCTCTGCGGGTACTGCTACGGCATCATCGTCGGCAGCCAATATTGACGTTTGTCCTGACTCTTCTCACACTAAAGAGGTTGAGCAAAATGGCAGTGTATCGTCGTCGGAAAAAAAATCAATAAAAAAGCAAAATTCTCCTGTTGCTGATATGGACACTACGGTTTCCGGTTCAAATGATGCTGCCAAGCGAATACAAAATGGTACCATCGGTAGTACTTCGTCATCTGCAGGAAACAAACAAGCAGCCGGCAGCACTACAATTACATCCACCAGCAAGGAATCCAAAAAGTTGAAGAAAACTGATATTAGTGGGGAAGATGAATCTACTGATGATGATGCTGACTATGAAGGTAGCTAACATAAATTTGATTTGACTAAGGTATCACAATTTTAATACATGAATTATAATTTAACAGAAATTGCAGAAGAAGGTGATCCTAGACATGGCTTGCCTTACTCTTCAGAAGACGAAGAAATAGAAGAAGGTAGACAACAAATATATATTTATGGTTTAAGAATCGTTAATATGCATATTTTAATTTCCCTTTATAGCTGAGAACTCGAGTGTATATTCATCAGATGAAGAAATCGAAGAAGAAGAAGGTATGTTAGGCTAAAAGATAAGCATATATATATACATACATATATTAAATTTCCTTAATGTGCGTGCCTATTTAGCAGAAGAAGATGAGGAAAGCGCCCTTGCCAATGAGCAGTTCTGTGCAGATATGATTGAGGAACCTGGCAAAGATAGTGGCTGCACTGCTGTGGTTGCACTATTGAACGGCCGTGATCTATTTGTAGCAAATGCGGGTGATTCCCGTTGTGTAGTTTGCCGCAATGGCAAGGCAATTGACATGAGTTTGGATCACAAGCCTGAAGATGAAGAAGAATCAGCTCGTATCGTTAAAGCGGGGGGTCGTGTTACTTTAGATGGACGTGTTAATGGTGGCTTGAATCTTTCGCGAGCCATTGGGGACCACGCCTACAAAATGGTAATTTAAAATAGCATTGCAGTTAGAGTTTTCTTTCAGTATTGTTTTTTTTTATTTTTATGAAGAATTTGGAACTTCCCGCTGAAGAACAAATGATATCGGCTTTGCCAGATGTGCGAAAACTTATTATAACACCAGAGGACGAGTTCATGGTGTTGGCTTGTGATGGCATTTGGAACTACCTCTCTAGTGAGGAAGTGGTTGATTTTATACGCCAACGTTTGAAGGACGATACTAAAAAGATTTCTCAGATATGTGAGGAGGTAATTAAAGATTTAGCAAATCCTTGCAGAAATGTTGCAATTGAAGGTATGCTTTTTAATCCTTTAGCTTTTTGATACTTGTTTGGCCCCTAATACCATTGGTGATGGCACGGGCTGTGACAATATGACAGCAGTCATTGTACGTTTTGAATCTAAAATTTTGGACATGCCAACTAAAATTAATCCCGAAGAGATAGTGCTTATCAAGGATGTTGTCGCTAAAACCTCTCCCACCGGTGGTAGTGCTCAACAAAAGGAACAACAATGTCTTAAACGTGCGGCTTCTCCCACATCCGATGAAAACTCCAACGAAGCCGAAAATGCCAACAAAACCAAACGCTTGAAGACTGACGAGGAAACTTCCTCAACAACCAATACAAAAAGCCAAGCTCCAGTTGAAACATCCACATCTAGGAACAGTAATACCGATGCAGCCAGTAGCAGCACATCAGAGGCTGCGGCAGCAGTTGCAAGCATTACAGGGCAAAAGGGTTGCGATAGCAACACCGCTGCAAGCAACAATGAAGAAGTGGATGCTGACAATATTGCGGTGTCCTCGACGTAAATTTCAGTCTTGCGTTTGAGCATACACATATGAAATTTGTTAATAACAAAAAGCGGTAAAAATTTGGGTTTGTGGATTCCAAATTTCGGTTAGCTCCAATTATTAATATAAAAAAGGAGTATATGTTTTATTTTTAAGAAAATCACATAACCTCGTCTACAAGAGAGTTTTTATTTTTCACAATGGCTAATATTAAGATTTTAAAACGATTCAAACAAGAATTAATACCAAGTTCACAGTGAATGAGTGTAATGCCTTTTGTACGAAAATTTGACCCAAACCAATAACATAAAACCTCCGGTAGTTTTCTATCCACAAAACGAAGTACTGTATAACGTCATACAAAAAATGGTCATATAACCAATCCGTAGTGAAATTTCTATCAGCTCATAGAGCTAGGAACTTAGTTTGGGACACAGCAAACTTTTAAATTTGGTACTTTATTTCAATGCCATTGCACTATGATTATATCGACGAAATAGCCAATAAACAGGCCAGCCAATCGTTCAATCACTTTCTTGTTGCATATCCGTAAGCAAAATGAGAATGCGGATAGAACGAGGGCTTTGCAGTAAATTTGGTTTTCATTAAATATATATTTTGTAAAGCAAATTATAGATAACAAGTACGTACATACTACATATACAAGAAGGCATAATTTTAATTAATTTACAAATTCAACATACACGTAATACGCAATGAAATAATAAGTAAAATGAAATAAAATATCTAGTATTTAAATAAAGTAAGTACCCAACAGTTATAAAAAATTGGTGTTTTTGTGAACCCATTTAAATTTACGGCATATGTAGGTATATAAAAAAAAGAAACATCTGTCAAAAATTTAATTGACTCACTCATTAAATGTCAACAACTAGTGTTGGGAGTATCGAGTACTTGTGAGATTCAAGTCCTTTTTTTAATCAATTGAATGCTACTTTGGAGTACTTAGTATCGATACTTTTAAAAATTAGGTACTGTCGATCCTTTTGAGAATCGAGTTCTGAGTACTTTTAGTATCGATGTTATTGTTGTTGTAGCGGCTACAACAACCCCGCCCAGGACGGTTGGTGTCTCAGTCGTTGTCGTCAAGTTCCACTAACGGCAGCCCCAGGAAGCGTGCAGTCTGTGGGGTTGGTCCACAAGGACAAGGCCGTTAGGGTTGTCGGGTTTTCCGGGCATGCGAAGAGATGTTTCGAGTCATGTGGGGTCTCTCCGCATGCCGGACACTCATTTGGCACATCCTCATTCAATCTACTCAGGTAGGAGTTTAACCTGCTGCAGTAGCCGGAGCGAAGTTGTGCTAGTGCCGTTCTTGTCTCCCGAGACAGATGAAGCTCCGTCACTTCTGTGTCCGGGGGCGGTATGCCTAGAACGGCATTCACAGGTCTAGAGTCTGCATAACTCGAGACTGACTCCCTGTGAATGCCGTTCAGGCCCAGTCGGTAAGCTGTCGGGTCCAGAGGTTGCTTGATGAACCTCTGGACTTCGTCCGTCAGTTCATATAGATGCCTCCTGACGTGCCTAGGCGAGGGCTCCTCTGCAAGCAGCTGTCTGTTTGGGTGGCCACTTCTGTGGCTCCCGATCAGGAACTGCTTGCAGAGCATTATGTTGTGCTCCTTTACGGGGAGCATTTGCGCCTCGCCGTGAAGATGGTGTTCGGGCGATATCAGAAGGCATCCTGTCGCTGTCCTAAGTGCGGTGTTCTGTGCAGTCTGTAGCTTCGTCCACTGCGTCCTACCAGTCCCCAGCGACCACACTGGCGCTGCGTAGTTCAAAACCGGCCGGCCTATTGCCTTGTATGTTGCCAGCAACGTTTCTTTGTCTTTGCCCCAAGTACTGCCGGCTAGCGACTTGAGGACCTTGTTGCGGCTCTGTACTTTATTGACAGTAACGGTTGCGTGCGCAGAGAAGGAGAGCAGGCTGTCGAATGTTACTCCTAGTATTTTGGGGTTATTCACCGTCGGAATTGGTGTTTCATCGACGTGAATTCCCAGCGATAGCCTGACCTCCTTCGTCCAGGTTGTGAACAGGGTCGCAGAGGATTTCGTAGGGGAGAGGGCTAGACACTTTGCAGTGAAGAAGCGAAAAAGTTCGGAGAGATACCAGTTTACTTTCGAACACAGGTCATCAATCCCATTCCCAGTCGCCATGATCGAGCAATCGTCGGCATAAGAGACAATCGAGACTCCCTCTGGTGGTTGAGGGAGCTTTGAAATGTAAAAGTTAAACAGTATCGGGGAAAGGACACCACCCTGTGGAACCCCCTGTTTTATTTTCCTCTGTTTACTCGTTTTGTCTCTAAACATTACCGACGAGTGTCGACCACTCAGATAATTTGCCGACCACCGTTTGAGCCTCTGTGGGAGAGAGGAGGCCTCTATATCTTCTAGTAGCGTGGAATGGCAGACGGTGTCAAACGCCTTTGACAAGTCCAACGCTACTAGAATCGTTCTCTCACAGGGACGGTTTCGGTTAAGGCCACGAGTTATCTGAGTGTTTATGGCGTTAAGTGCTGTTGTTGTACTGTGCACTTTACGGAAACCATGCTGATGCTTCGCTGGGGTTTGTGAAGTACGGGAGTAGCAAGGCCTCGAGTGTCTTCGCTACCGGGGAAAGGAGTGTTATCGGACGATAAGAATCTCCTTTTTTGGCAGGTTTCCCCGGTTTGAGCACTGGGACCACTCTCCCCACCTTCCAGATGTCTGGGATGATGAGAGTGGCCATAGACAAGTTGAGGACCTCCGTTAGGTACACTACCCCCGCAGGACCTAAATTTTTCAGCATCAGCATGCATATTCACTCGGGACCCATGGCTTTGGAGGCTTTCGCCTTCCCTATGGCCACCTGAACTTCACCGCAAGTGAAAGCAAGGGGGGCACAGGTTGTTGGCACTTTGTGCAGCCTTTTGGTCACTCGACGCTTGGCTTTGTCCACCGGAGGACAAAATAGCTCGCGCATCGCTCCGGGTCCGACGAAGCATGGTCGCCGAAGGAAATTTCGACTCTGTCGTCGTGCTTCGTCGGATTGGACAGCGACCTCACGGTTAACCAAAGCTTGCTCACACCAGAGGTGAAGTTACAGGTCTTCAGATGCTCCTCCCACTTCTTCCGCTTATGTACGTTTACTAGTTGCCGAATCTCCGCGTTGAGATCCCTGATACAGGGATCTCCGGGATCGGCCTGACGAAGGCTATCACGCTCATCGGCTAGAACAGCCGCTTCGGCAGGGAAGTTTGGACGTGGGTCCGTTGTACATCCTGCCGGTATGAAGCGAGCTGCGATAGCAGTGACAGCCCTGCGGAACTTACGTTCACCGAGATGGACGTCGGTTGGTGTGGGGAGCGCTGTGAAGGTGCTTTCAGTAAACTCCGCGTAACCTTTCTAATCAGCTTTAGAAAAGTTGATATAGGTCCGGTGTTTGGCGGAGGCAAAGTCGGTTGGTTTATCTATCGAGATGGCTATGGGTAGGTGGTGTGATGCTAAAGTCAGCGTAGGTCGCCATGTTATGCTGTTTATCAGACCAGCGCTGACTATGGTGATGTCTGGCGAGCTACTGCAGTTACCCATAATCCTGGTGGGTGCGTCATCGTTCATTGTGCAGAATGTCGAATCGTCTATCTGCTCAGCCAAGTTTATACCCCTACGATCGTTTGACAGGCTTGAGTGCCAAAGATCGTGGTGCACATTAAAGTCACCTACTACCATACGGTTTTCACCTCTGAGGAGCGGACTTATATCAGGGTGATATCCTGCCGGGAAGCAGGTGACAGGGGGTATGTATATATATGTTAAATATTTCGAGATCAACATCGCCTGACCGGATAGCAATGCCCTGACATTCTAGGGTGGTATCCCTGCGGTCGATGTCTGCTTCGATAAGACGATACTGCACGGTGTGGTGCGTGATGAACGCTAAGCCACCACCATTATCTCGCTCGCGATCTCGACGGTGCACGTTGTACCCGGCGCAATTCAACAAATTTGAATTGCTGTGCAACTTCGTCTCTTGGACCGCAGCTATCAATATACCATGCCGACACATGAAGACGGTTATCTCCTCAATCTTGCTCTGCAGCCCGTTGCAATTAAATTGAAGGAGCTTCATGTGGTTCGGGAGATGTCGTGATGTGGGGTGTAAGGGATGTGTGTGTTCTTACCGCCGTTGGCTGTGTGCGCTGCTGTGATGGTTGTCGCCCTGTGGTGGTGGCGGGAGGCGTCGCAGTTGAGGTCTGCGACCGAGCAGCGCAACACGGGCCCTCGAAGTTCCCAGTCCAATCTCGCGTGGTACGCAGACCTGAGCATGCCCTAAAGTGGCACCAGCCAAGGCAGGTGTTTTCACTTGACTGATGTCACATTACGGAATATCCTGGTCTGACATACCGTGCAGACTGTAGGGGAAACCAGGAGTTGTTGGCGGCGGCGTGTGGGTGGTGGTGCGGTTGTGTGTGTTATGTGGTCTGTCGTGGCTATGGTATGGTCTGTGGCATGATAAAAACATAACAAGGTAAAACCATTGAGAGGTAGTCTTACGTTTACCAACAATATAATTTTATAATCAAAACTCAAACTCACACACACATTCTCATTTTCAATCTTAAACAACAACAATTGTGAACAATTTAATTTTTTTATTTTCAATTTTATATGATTTTAAAATGTTGGCAAACGTCATAAAAAAATCATGGCCGACGAATTGAGAGAATGAATTTACCTTGTAATGTTTTTATCATGGTCTGTGGTATTATTATGTTGTTGTGTTGTGGTGACTGTGTGAGTCTGCTCTGGTGGACTGAGGTTAGCCGTGGAGGCTTCTCTGTTTGAGCAAAAGGGGGGCCACGTGGTCCACTGTCGATGTGTCCGTAGTCCTGAGCAAACTCTAAGTTGACTCCACCCCTCGCAGGCATTACACTTGACTGAGGTGGAGTTGTGGTGTAGTCGTCTCCGGCATACACAGCAGGTGTAGATTTCTGGCCCTGGGTTTGACTCGATGCCAGCCTTGAGTAGAAGAATACGTAGTGATTGTAGCCCTTTGGACGAACAACTTCTGAGATACTTCGCCGACCTAAACGGGGTTAGATCGCCGAAACAACAGCCCGTGGTCGGTTAAAACCCGAGTCATTCCGGTACGTAGAACCGGCTGCCGTGGGAATGTTTAGTATCGATAGTGCCCAACGCTATCAAACACCATATCCTAGTAATCGCGGTGAAGAAGTCAGGAGATGTGATATCCGAAATAGCAGCTTTAACTTCTATTTGTAAACTATAGTGGTTTTTCCACAATAGTTTTTTATTCAAAACGTCCTTAAGCTCAATAAAAGT